AGGTACTTACCAAGAAAGGGGCAATGGAAGACAAAAAGTTCTTGACACCTTTAATATATGAAAGCATTCTACACTTGACACCTCAGCTTGAAATAGAATTGTTAGAAATAACTTTCACTCAAAACTTAGAAGCCATTGCTTCCCATTTCACTGATGAGAAACTTGATGCCATTCTTATTCCCAATTCACTTTAGCGGCCCAATTTCCACATTTCAATCCTAGTTTTTTGGACTTTCTCATTTCCCCTTATGTTCTGAAACATCATGCCTCACCGTGGATCTTTTTCCGTTCGTTGGATTCATTTTGCTAAGTGCTCTCAAAGTGGCAGTGTGTCAACGGTCCTTAATTATTTTGATACTTTAGGAAATTTGTTAGATGTTAGACCTTCTGGAGTGATCTTCTTTTAAAAAAAAAAATCCATCGTTTTGTATTTTTCTTTTTCATACTCCTTAAACGTCTGTTTTAAATATATTAATTTGTACTGTATTTTACAAAATCTATTTTCTAAGGCATTCTGTAGTTTTTTCATGGATACAATTTCTTATCTTTGAAAATATTCATTTTCAGGTTTTCATCTCTATATTGATTCTGTTTTGGTTTTTGCTACTAGTGCTGGGGCAATCTTCAAAAATCTGCTGATTTTTTAGTTTATTCACATTTTAAAATTCACTTGGTGGAGACTCACCTTTCCCACTGGAAAATCTTCAAATGTCCAAATCTCTTTCAAGGTATTTTGTCTAGGACCACTGAGTTTCTACAGAAAATGATCGTCCCTCTTTTTCCCTGAGACTTAACTGTCACCATTCTAGAAACTACGAATATGCCATCCAAATAGAATTTTATCTTCAGTTTCAATCCATGTCTGGTTATCTCTCAGTCTGAAGACTTGTTTAAAATTCACAAGACACCACTTTTCATTCCACAGTAAAAGGTAAACTATCTAGCTACCTAACTGCATTGAATTAAGTAGACTTTCAATCACCCCTATTTCCAGCTCAAAATCTGATCTCCATATTCAGCAGCAATTTTTCCCCCCTCTGATTTCTAGGTTATTCTGAATTTTATGGAGCGAATCAGCTTGCTTCTAAATAAGTATTCCTTCTGTAGTTAATTAGGTTTACACTTCCTCTACCATACTCAAATCAGTTTCTACTCCTTGGTCCACTGTCCAGCTTCCATTCTCAGGCTCCACAGATTTATACCTTCAGAAATATGTCATTTCAGTGGAGTTCTATCTAGGAGGCAGCTAGTACTAAAGCATTTGTGGTATCCTGTTAAATCAAAGTCCAGGTAGCATAATTTGTAATAGATAAAAGTGGAAAACTATCCACACAGCTAATAGGGTAACCGATATGTAAAATATGGTAGCCCAACTCAATGACTTATTTATAGCTATTTAAAATAATTAGACAAGGAATTTTTTTTAATTTTGGCTTCACCACGTGGCTTCTGGTATCTTAGTTCTGCTACCAAGGACTGAACTCAGGCCCCAACAGTGAAAGAGCAATATCCTAATCACTGGATTAGCAAGGAATTTTTTAAAAACTGTGATTATCAGTTTTAAAGTCAAACACTGACTATCATAGAGCATTAACCTGTGTAAAACCATACAGCAAGGAGAGAATATCCCAAAATACTTAATTCTAGGATGCAGGGTTAAAACTTTTTGGAGTCTAAAACAAGAAATATGTGTACAGAAAACCCAAGTTCTCAGCCAGACAAATTTCTTATCATTTCTGGGGAAGTCAAGGCCTCATTTTTTTGTATCTAATTGGAAGTGAAGAGCTGTAGGATTTTCAGACCAAATTAAGTATTTTGATGATGGCCAGGCCCAAATAGAGTTAATGAGTAAAGAAAAGGTGCAAACTATTCAGGAAGCAGCATTTTGTAAATGTAATAGGATGTAGAGTAGGAAAAGGAAATAAAAGTATGAATAACTTGATAAAAAGGGATAGTGTCAAAAAACCTCTAGAAGACCTATAGAAAGGAATAAACAGTGTAAGGAGGTATCCTTGGGAATACAAGCTTACTCAAAGGACCAGTGAAGAGAATATCATCACTCTATTGAATTGAGCTGAAAGGGCTGTAACTTGAACAAATTAAAAGATCACCATTTAGGACCAAGGTCTTTGCCTAAACTCCCTACATATGTCTTCCCACACAGGCATTCATTCCCCTTCCTACCCTCCCTTTCCAGAGGTTCACAACCTTGATCTTTTACTGCATCTTGCCTTTCTTTCATCACCTCTCCCCATCTCTTCATCTGTTATTACCCCAATCTAGCCATCAGCTTTCCTTTCAGTTTACTTTTGAATCTTACCTCTACCTCATTTCCAAAGCACTTTGTTTCAGTGAGTAAATCCTTACCTGTACATTCCCTGCCCCCAAAATCACACTACTTTCTCAATGCTTTTGTGCATGCAACAGCCCTCCCTCAACATAAATTCCATTACTAAATGAAGATAAAGGTTAGGGATATAGGGAGTGAAGAGATACTAGTTATAAGTAATGCTACAGCAATAAAACCTAGAGTTAAAAGAGGAATAAGCATATTGTTTAATCACCTGGAGGTAATTAACTTAAACAAACAAACAAAAAACCTAAGCAGAGTTGTTTAAAGGCTATTGTCTCTATGGATTAGTAGTAGAGGTAGGAAGAGGATCATACATTTTACACTGCGGACTCTTCACTATTACAAATTTTCAAAAATACCTCTTTATTATTTGAAAAAAACATTTTTAATGGAGAAAATCAACCCTCTAATAATCACATCAGCAGATGATTCTCCTGAATGTTTATTAAATTTTTGCCCTTTAATTTTACCTCCAGGTCATACATGACATCTTAAGGTTAAACCAAGAGGAATTACCTCTTCTCCTCACATACACAGAAATATGATATTATGAAACTAAGAACTAAAGTATCTGTAATGGAATACAATGACTTTTAGGGCCAATTAAACTGTGCTATTTAGATCATCATTTTCTATGGGTCCCATAAACCAAAAACAATGGTATTTATTCCATTCTTCCAAATATCAGCAAAGTGTTTTGTGCATGAAAAGCAAATTTAGTAGAAGTCAGGATACCCTGCAGTTGAACCTAGCTCATCAAAACATGCTATTCAATTCTCACCATGAGAACTGGTTTGTATATACTCTCCTTGAAGACCTCTCACCTGAACTCCCCTTTTCCTTTTCATGCTTGCAAATGATCCCTCCACAGTTCCTATTTTTAAGGAAAACAAGAATAGCATTTCAGGTCTCAAAAACCTACCAGGTTTAGTAGGCAAACATAAATAACAGTATTAGGGGATTTCCCCCGAAAATAAAGACTAGGTTCCCTGATAGCTCAGTTGGTAAAGAATCCGCTTGCAAGGCAGGAGACCCCAGTTCAATACCTGGGTTGGGAAGATCCGCAGGAAAAGGGATGGGCTACCCACTCCAGTATTCTTGGGCTTCCCCTGTGGCTCAGCTGGTGAAGAATCCACCTGCAGTGCGGGAGACCAGGGTTTGATCCCTGGGTTGGGTAGATCCTTTGGAAAAGGGAAAGGCTAGCCACTCCAGTATTCTGGCCTGGAGAATTCCATGGACTGTCCATGGGGTCACAAAGAGTCGGACACGACTGACCGACTTTCACTTTCACTGGGTATCCTACTTACTTTAATTGATCTATTTTTAAAAAGGAGACTGACAGGTATCCTTTTCCTTAAAATTCTGCAATCCTATGAACATGGTTAGGAGATACCAATAGAATGTCATTAGTCCTATTCCTCAGTATTAACCAATATAATATAAATAATGAACACAAATAGCAATGGAATATATATCTCACATATTAAAAGTGCAGAGCTGAGGATTAAATACAATAATTAGAATGCAAGCTATGTAAAACAAAAGGCACTGTCGCCCTTAAATAAAAATTAGGTATATTCTCTACATGCTGTAAGGAAGAAACAAAGTACTAAGTATATTAACTCAGCAAGAAATAAAAAATACTTGGGTTTCTGAAATTTTGCCCAGTTTTTAGTGTTTATCCTGTTTTATCTGTGTTCTTGAAAAAAGAATCTACAAGCATCAAGTATCGTTAACTGATTTTAAAACAGCTTGGCCTTCTTGACTTTGGTCAATATCCTATCAAAAAGTAATTTACTGTAATAGGTAAGTAAAATTATAATGGTGTGCTTTAATGTATTTTTACTGAAATTAAATGATGGGAAATGAATTTTACAACATAAATATCTGAGTAGATGGTATATTACTATACAACATACTCTTAGAGAATTTTAGAGAATTCACGTTAATTCTTTGATGAATGAAACAAAGCACATACCAAGTGTTTACCATCCTTTAGATTTGACCATCCTGTTCTAGGGAGTATCATGAGTGGTCTTGAATTCCATTTGTTTTCCTTGATTTTTAACACATAAAGATATAGCTTGTACCATCCTTAGCCCTTCATCCTGTTACTCCAGTGAGAAGCAATTCCATCTCCAGGCTATAGTAACTCATAGGCCTGTTGAAAGCTGGTTATAAATGTCCTAGAGACACAAAGTAACAATCAGTTTATCGTGTGAAATAATTAATACAAATCCTAACAACATAGCCTCTTCTAATGATGAGTATCAATAGAGGCAGGAGTAATCTACGAACAGAATAACCCACTTCTGAAACAATTTAGTCCTTTCCACTGTAACAGGCACCCTTTTCAGAAGATTTTTGTGCTTATACTACTACTTTCAGTATCAACTACCTCTGGATTATTCTAAATTTTTGGATCAGAATCTAGCCAAATAATGTTATATTTTCAAGTAAATTAATCAATTAAAATTAACTCCAATTGAAAGCACAAATATAATTTATTGCACTTACCAACATACACTCATTACTATAAATCTATTTAATAAAACGATCCACCTGGTTCCTTTTCTTGTTTAAAATAATGTGGAGGCTTAATTGCCTATCCATTGCTGAGTACCCAGAAAGAAGATATAAACCGTTTTCAGGGGAAAACACGCATGCATTTATTTTTAAGAATTCCCAGTAAGGGGGGAAAAAATTCAACATCTTTAAAAATGTGTTTATTTTTTAAAAAATCAGTTGTGTACAAAAGTGTTTCGTAGTTTTTAATTCTCAAGACAAATACCCAGCCCTCCACCCCCAGCCCACCCTGCTTCAATGGTCTTTCTGGCAACCCACCCATTTTCCCCTTACAGGAAGTTAACGGCTCAGAATAGATCCTCCTATAGAATTTATCATCACTAACAGATTGTTTAGAATAGAGATCTAGAGAAGCTAACAAGCAAGATTCTTTCTCGGTGAGGTTAATGAGTATCCCTATAATGGCAGTAGACTTCCAGCAGACACCACAACAAAGCACCATCAATTGCTGAAAGCTAAAAAATAGATATTATTTTCAATAGTATTCCATTTTCTATTGGAAAAGTCTTTAAATTACATTAAATAAGTCTCTTTCCCCCCAAAGAAATAGTCTAGCTTTTATTACGATGTCTGTAAAAAGCAGGTAACAGCAAGCACACGAGGGTAATTTAACAGCACAGTGCAAATGATTTCTGAATCCACTCACCCCCAGGACCAAACTGATAAACTGTGCCTCATCTCATTATATAAGTAGCACTGAATATATACATATACATATATATTCAATGCCTGGTTGGAATAACCAAGCAAAAGGTGACACATTCACAACTTAACATTTAGGTGATGATCACAGGTTTATGAGGGTAGATCAGTCCAAAAGAACAGTAACAGAACAAATGGGACAAGTGAGATACTGACATTTCCCTAGCTCTATGCCACAAGATTTTGACCCATATTGCAACAGTGCAAATAGAACATGTGACATAGTATGCAGACAAGGCAGAAAAGTCACACTTGAAGAAAAGGCTATTTATCAGTAAATATTTCAAGTCAACTTCTTTCCCAGTGATAGTAAACAGCTGATGTTAAGCATTTATTTTTAACTAGTACTAAAAGAATGGAAATGCAAATTTTCAAAATCAATGGTTTGTACAAGAAGTGATTCATACATTATTTTGTAAAAATCCATGAAATAAAGTCAACTGTAAACAGCTTCCTCTTTCCTATCCAAACACTTGTTTCCATCTATGTACAAGAAAGTATACATGGTTCCAACTGTCCCATGCCCAAATCTATCTCTAAAACAAAAACAAAAAAAAACAAAGCTTCTGTTTCCTGTGTTACTAACAAGGATCGTGGACACATTATTACACCCCTAATGCAGAGTTTTAAAAGCTCAAATCAGGCATACACTTAAGAGCTAAGAATTGCTTTTCACACTGATAAACTTGTTAAGCAGCAGTAACACAACATGCTGCATTCTGTACGGCATAAATAAGCAATATGCACTTTATCTGCCAATTCTTTCTCAAACTTTAAAGTTGTTTTGCATAGTTTTATGCACTATCAGCAATCACAAATGTGAAACACTTCCCCCAAAAAAGGAAAAAAACCTGCCTTCCATTTCACAGAAAATGCTTCTCAAAAGCAAAATGGTCAGAATATAAATACACACACACATATATATATATATACTTGAATGCATTATGTGTTTATGTAAATCACAGCCACAATTCCAAACATTTGGGGGAGCCAGCACGGAGCATCTAATTTAGTACCAAGTTCCTCAAATATTTATATACCTTACCGTATACTTATTCGGATCACAAACTGCTACTTATTCATTCAGTCTGTACTGATACACTAACACAACTAATTGTTTGTTCTTTTAAAAGTCAGACACACACTCAGGAAACAGACCTGATCATCACAGAAGACTGAGTATCAGTGACTTGTAGCAAATTGTCTACCCAGATGGGATAAAACTACACATACATTTAACTACAATTTTTGAAGCCTTTACAACTAACAAATCACAAACCATTGAGAATTATATGAATAATTTCCAACAGGGTATGCTTTCCCTAGACCTGCACTTTTACTGCTCTTTTTCTAAACATACATAAGACAAGAGAAAAAAAGCAACTGCCTTTATTTCTATGTTTGGGGAAATAAATCTACCTGTAGAAAATAGGGAAAAAAAAAACCCCAAAAAACAAACACCCAGTAAGAAGGCGATAGTGGGAAATGTACCAGAAAACAGATAATCACATGAAGTGTAAACGAGGTAAATTTTTGAAATGGAAATCCATTATGGAGAACCTCTCATACCAAACACTGTAGCTCTCTACTCCCTGGGCACCGGGGATGCTGAACTGCAGTTAGCGGAGCACACCCTAAGAGGCCACTGTGCACAAAAGCCATGGGCGAGCCACAGCTGCCTCCAAGAGCGAAGCAGGCAACGCCTGGCCCTGAGTAACGTCTGCGCTCTCTCTCGGTTGCCAGACCACAGGGCGATTAAATATGCCCTGACAGTACAGGCAAATAGTCAACTGGGTAGAGGTGTTTGATATTTAAAATAATGTAAATATCACTAACATTACCCAGCCACCCTCCACTAAACAACAAAAGAAATTAATTCTAAACAATGATGGAACAAAACAGTCCACATATTCACACAATTCGAACCTTACCTCACAATATAAAGAAAAGTACATGGTTTTAGCTATTTAAAATAAATAAAGAAAATCTTTTTTCCTTTGGCATCTTTATAAAGTAAATTACAATTAAAGGAGGTGATTGTATAAAGAAATTTATACTTAGGCAAACACAGGGGAAAAAACAGCAACTTGTGTTTAGTATGCAATAAAATCAACTACAAGAGTTTCACTACTGATTAGGAAAGCCTTACAAGTTTCTGGAAGAACCTTCACATCTTAACATTACAATATATTTAATAATGGTTCTTTTTATTGCTTCTAAGATTATTGAGAAGTCAAATGAAATTATGCTGAATTTATGGTTCAAAACTGTTTTCCAAACACTTAACCATTATAATTTAGGATAAATAACACTTGAAGAAAGCAAACCTTTCATAATATGACTTTCCATATACAGCCTTACTTTAATTCATTCAGATTCCATTACATTTTTGTTATTTTTGCATTGGTCCTGAATATTTAATAAGAACTGTGTTTCTATGTATAGAACTGCCTACACAAATCCATTTCACCCTTCATAAAATGTTCACATTAGTGTTAGAGCTTGCAAAACTAATAATTTTCAAACTTTGAACTTAGAGTGAAGTGTAACTTTAATACGTATAGAAAGTCTGACTATGTACAAGAGAAGGTAAAGTTTTCAATTCTCATATTATCAGAAACATCATAAAGAAAGCTAGATTTATAACACACTTCTATTCCTATGTGCATCTGAAGTATGTACAGTAAAACACCAACACAGCTTTCATGTGTTAATAGGGGAAAGTGCAAGCAATCTCTATAAAGCCAAAATCAGGCTAAAAAAACTGCAAACAGTTGATTTCATCCTTGCAAGTTCTCAAAGATAAATTCCACCAGTTTAAAAATCAAAAGACGTTAAATTCACTGAAAAATTAAGCTGGGTTCTTTTCATTTAATCTGGGAATACTGCAACATCAAGTATTTACTGTTTTTACAAAAAAAAGAAACAAAATTGGCAGCTCCATTTTTACAATATTATTATTGTATATATATTGTATATATTCCTATATAAGTAATAGGAAAGTTTTAAGAGTGGAGAACTGTGATGAAACATTCCAACTGGATGACCTAAAATGGAGCAAGGGATACTGTCCTTCAGCACATTTCCCCACCAAATATAAAGAAATTTAACATTAGAATATTAGCTGTGTGTGGCCAGAGGGGAAAAACAGGTGCGTTGTCCCAGTCTGTTGACAAGGACGAAAAAGGCTCTGACTAGGCCACCGCCTTCATTTCTGGATAAATCTCACACTGAAGAATCCTCGAATGCTAAAACGGTGGTCTTTTCAGCTACCCATCCTAAGAAGTCAAGTATAAGCATGCAGGTAAAGTCACAGGCACAGAGGGTCCATGTTGAAACAGGTAAGGTGGCTGTGATGCAACACCGACAATCTGAATGGCCCTGACACACCCAAAATATTATCTTAATTATTCAACAAATCCTGAAGCAAACTCTTGCTAGTCTTGGTATACTGCTAAACACTAAAGTAGCATGTTTTTTCCATGGTTTTAGCTTAGCTCAAAAGAATTTTTACACTATTAAGTAAGAAAAAAATTAAAGTATTTCCCCTTTTTAAATTTACACAGACGTTTAATTAGCTTTATTTACAGAGCAGGGATTTTTTTCAGTCTCCAATGGTGCCTAGATAACATCATTAGGCAAGAATGCCAGTTTAAAAGAAATCTATGCAGAATCCTAAAAATAACAGATGTTGATGCTCCTCCAAGAAGGGGCAAGCTTGACTATATCAGCATCTCTCTTTATGTTTCAGTTACTCAGAAGCAATTCTGTTGCAGTCTCTACATCCCATGATTTTGAAGACAAGGCCACTATTACCGCATTCTGTAGAAAAGAAAAGGGGACAAAATAAAATCTCAAGAAAATATTTTAAAAATACCATATCAAAAAAAATAAAAATAAAAATTAAAAATACCGTATCAGTCACTGTCTTTAAAGAAACCACACCTTATTGTTTCATTTTTAAGTTACCCTGCACTTGTAGTGCATTAAAAAACTCTAAAACCAAAGACTAAAGCTTCTTTGGTGGCTCAAAGTAAAGAATCCGCCTGCCAATGCAGAAGACACAGGTTTGATTCCTGGTCTGGGAAGATCCCACAAGGAGCAAAGCCACTCAGCCCATGTGCCAGCATCACTGAAACTGTGCTCTACAAGCCAGGAGCCACGACGACGGAGCCCCGTGCCGCAACAAGAGAAGCTGTCACGGTAAGAAGCCTGCATGTCACACAAGAGAGTGGTCCCAGCTCGCTACAGCTAGAGAAAAAGTCCGAGCAACAGTGAAGACCCAGCACAGCCAAAAATAAATCAATAAAATTATTTTAAAAAATAAAATCAATGACTGGAACCAGCCAAAGTTAAAAAAAAATCACTAGTTTTAATAACAAAGCTAGATTATCAAAATTAGATTTAGAGTACTGCTGAACCACTTTTGTCAGCCAAGGATTTGCAATAATAATTTAACAAATAAATAAAAATCAACATGCCTTTATGTACTTACCCTATCAAAGCCCATAGCACATAGGTTTTCTATTTTTTTGGTGTACTCTGGACTAGAAACTGGTGCTCCAGCATACACATGTGCCCAAAGTCGAGCTGTCTGTTTGAACATTTCAGGATTTTGTTTGTACTACATGGGGGAAAAATTGATTGATATGACAACGCAGTTATAGTATTCAAAATAGGAACTCATCTCTTAATTGCTTAAAAACCTGTTTTTTCTAAATAAATGTAGATTAGATTGTT